CGTCGGATCGCCGATCCGACGCCTGAAGCGACCAAATTTTTCGGATCAGGCAGTCGTATTGCCGGATCGGACGTCGGATCGGATGGATTTTTCGCGCATGTGTCTCGCGCTTAAGTTTGAATAGCAATACTTGAGCTTGGGCGAGTTGGTGATTCATACTAGCACTTCACAACGCAAGGAAACAGACGCACACAAAAAGAACTTTCAAACACAAAAAAAAAACACTCACAATGCGCTGACTCTTATCTTTGTGCTGTATTATACTTCATCCTCATCATCTCTTCTTCGCTATTATCCAGATGGAAGTAAAAAAAAAGGGCGAAAAGAAAAAGAAAAAGAATTGCTCCCAACGCAGTGGTAGCAGACAACGCGTGAGACAGGGAACCAAGATCCGACTGCAGCTAGTTCTCGTGACCGCCATCTGGGCCACTCGCCTCTGCAGGCGAGAATAGGGAGCTGCGAAACTGAGCTTGCTCCAGTAACGTTGGTCTAGAGTTCCTGTATGCATATCGAAAAACTCTACTCTCGTCGCTAAAGAGCCTCTAGTAAGAGAGTGTTAAACTTAGGGTGTAACATAGGTGGGAAAACAACCACTAAAACCTGCCGCAGCCGTTCGACTAAAGGCTTATTCACACGATGCATCTTTCCAACGCGCCGAAGTTTAGCGAAACCAACATTTCGGGAAATCGGCCTGTTCACACGTGGAGCTTGACGCGCGAAACCTGTGACGTATTGACTCCCGAGAATTTCGCCAAACCTTGTCCGTTTCACATCAAAATGATATGAAGAACGCACAGTATGAATAGACAGTCTGTTTTATTAATACCACTTAATGACCTTGGTCAGATTCGGCTCACTGGGTGTACTAGTCTTGCCAAACGCGGGAAAGAGCGCGAACGTCAAAGAACAGGCAGATGATCTCGAAGCATTTTGGACATTTTTTGCACCGTAATAAAGAAAGTTATCCCGTCATCATGTTTATATGCGGTGCTTGCACTCGTCGCGACTGTTGATGAATCTGCACCGCGCCACCAACCCGTACCGTAGGCGCCGTTCACACACCTGCAACCGAGTAGTACCAAGACACGTCGCCGCACCGCTTCACCGCTTGTCGCTCGCCATGTTTGTTTGTTTTCTTTCGGCTTTGGCTCGGATACGGAATCGGCCGAAAATCAGACTGTCCCCGAAGCTCGCTCCCCCTTGAAGGTCAGACGTCATAGCGAGGTCGAGCGGCCATTGGCAGAGTCCGCGTTTCTCCTTCGGGTGATTGACAGGCCTCGGTGAGGTTTCAGCGAAAAAATGCTCGAGAAGCGAGGAACACGCGCCACTTTTTTCTGAGGCGCGCCACTTTTTCGGTCGCATTCAGACGGGGGAATCTGTTTCCCAAAACCTAGTTTCGCGACACAAGATTCGCCAACAAGATGCATCATGTGAATAGATCCTGGCTGCTTGCGCTTGGCAGGTGCGTCAGCGTTACGATAGATGGCGCGGCAATATACGGAAGGCGATGGCCTCGGGTTTGAATGGAGCTCTGCGATAGAACGCACCGTGACAGCAACATTATTTATTTGAAAGTAGCATTTAGTTAATCCTGCCAAAGTAAAATTATTACACAATTATCTATTAATATTTTTCTCAACTTTAACGCCCTTTCCAAGCCTTCCAAGCCGCGTGAGCGGAGTGAGCAGCCCGAGGCAGCCGGTAATGTGAAATATTCTGCAAACAGTCTGATGAGCTCTTGGTTTTTCAGTTTGTTTTTTTTTTCTTCCAAACGCGCTGGTAGTGGACGGATTTGGCCACAGCAGACGAAGTTGGTATCTCTCGACGTGTTTTGGCGCTGTGTTTTGGCGCCTGGGGACGGTCAAGATTGTTTAGGCATGGGCCATTACTGTTGTGTTCCGCACTTTTAGCCTAGTTATGGTCTGAAGAAAAGAAAAAGGTGATATTTAACGCGGGCAATGTTGATCTTGGGTTACTCTGCCGTGCTGGGTACCGTGCGGTAGCAGTGTGGTGCGACGGCGTACCGCTGGCTTTCAATGAAGTCGAACTAAACCTTATTTTGCTTGCACGTAAACAGTGGATAGGTATGCGCTAGATCACCCAACATACCAGCAGGCGGAGTGGAATCGACGCCGTTAACGCAATCACATTACGCATCAGCTGCTCGTCCGGCGGTGTTCGCCTTCATTTTTTCACGGACCGCAACCCCTTAATTATTTTAGCGTGTAATGCAAAACGAAAGGTAAATCTAGCCACTAAATAAGCTACGCTTCAGGGTAACGACACGTGCCCATTTTGGCGCTCAAAATCATGGTTGTCAGTTATCTGAAGCTCTACCTAAAATCACACACACCAAAAAAAAAAAAAAGAACGCTTTCCGTTTTCCACAAATGTCTAAACAGTTCGCGACAAAGCAAAGAAATATATTACATGAGCTTAATAGCACCGAAACTAATTCTGAGGAAGTCGCACTTTTGAATCATGACGATTGGCAGTTGCTTTTGCTTTGTACTAAGCACCAGAGTACTATCGGGGAAAAGAGTGCCGATACCCTAAGCGTAGCTCATTTTGTAGCTCATAGGTAAAATGAAGCCTGTATCTTAAATATATATCTCATTTTGCTCTATTAAACTTGCGTGGTGCATGCCTGGTTTACAAAATGAATTGCCAGTGGGCGACGTTGCCTGCAAACTGAACTAGAATATTTTATTTTTCGTTTTTTCTTTGCGTGCACTCTAAAAAATTCTGTGCGTCTACTTTCACGCACAACACTCGGAGAACCAATCAGCGCAACTTACGGAGGCAGCTCAGCGAATGACGATGCCGAAACATATGTGTAGACCAAAAAAACGTAGTCTGAGTTGTGACATTAAGTAATGCAAGCGTGGCGTTTTGCATTGCTTAATGTCACAACTCAGAGTGTTTTTTGGTCTAAACATATGTTTCGGCATCATCATTCACTGAGCTGCCCCCGTAAGTTGCTGTGATTGGTTCTCCGAGCTTTGTGCGTGAAAGCAGATTCACAGACGTTTTTTAGAGTGTGGCGCCATTTGTGTGGCGTACTGCGCATCGGGACGCATTCAGATCACCCAATCTGATTTCTTTCCTCACCCGCCTATCTTACACCCTGGTTCAACTGCTCGATTACTCTTCATTGGTCAATATTTACCACATGGTTTATTGCCGCCATGTTGAGTCCGATTTTGCTAAGGACTTGTAGAGCTACATAGTTTGTTTTTGACCTTTTTGATTTTATACAAGCCTGGAAACGATTAGATATTTTATAAAACACATAAAAAGTACCTTTTTATTTCAATCAGTTTGAGTTTGATACACTAAGTAATTTTTAAACGCAAATATCTGTTAAATTTTTTTTTTTTTTTTTTTTTTTTTTTTTTTTTTTTTTTTTTTTACATTTTGTTACGTATTTGTTAGCAATGGTTCCTGCTCCGCTTTGGCGCCAGGCAGTGGCCACGGTGCTTGAGGCCAGATTAGACGCCCGAACCCGTTGGTCATAATCATAGCAGTCGCACTTGCCAGGTTCACAGGCGGCGAGCTAGCGAGAGGTATTGTTGACCAGTCTGTTTCCGTGAGAAGCGGGTTGAGCTTGTTACGGCTGTTACCACCATGGTTCTGCCAAAGTGCTCGCCGCTCACTGCTACTGACTGCCCGCCGCTCGCCGAGGCCATCGACGTGCAACTGGGAGAGGTTATGATGTTTCATTTTTCATATTTCGTTGTTTGGAAGCAGTTACGGCTGATACTGCACGCCTTTCTGTCGCGCCTGCGCTTACGAGCGGATTCAGGTACTACGAAGAGCGGCACATCGCACTAAGCAGAGGAGGATTGAGGCATCAGTCTATTTGCAACGCGCTCGCTCTGTCACCTCTTTGAACGTATGAATTTGAATAAATATGTAATTTTTTTGTATCGCGTCTCATTTCGATATTGATAGGCATTAATAAAAGCATCGACTATTTTTCGCGTCTGCAGACTGCCGCGCACGCTCTTGTCCGCTGCGATACGAAACCGTAACGCACTTGCCTTTCACTCATTTTAATATAAACACGCCATGAAATCGAATACTGCCCTCACGCCATCGCCTGGTCGAGAAATACCGAACATCGAGAATGTTGTGTGTCGCACAAGAAGGGTATTGAACTTACGGACAGGAGCGCTGGTAAACCTCGCATCGCGAAGTTTACAATGTGACTGATTCTATGATTCCTTTCGTAACCGTTATGCGACCACCGAGAAACTGTTAGCAACCCACGCACTGGTTCCGAACTCCGAACCGTCCGGGCGGACAGGTTACGAACCACGACCATATCTCTTCGAACGGGACCGTCCGCAGGGCCTGCAGCAGCCGCAGAGCCGGCAGAGTGGAAGGACAGGGGAAAGGGCAGGGCGCCTCTCGGACGGCTCTAGACGGCTCAATATACCCGGCCAGCCAACAAGCCACCCAAAGCCTTGTGACCAAACGCTTCCATGTTTTCAGTTGCCGTCTCTAACCATAGAGCTTCTCAACTCGTCGTTAATCGCAAGGAAGCAGAACGTGCTGGCTTACTGTCAAACTCACGTGTATGAACTGCCCTTATATCCTAAAGGTCTTTACAAAATGCATTTACTGTTCCATTATCATTTTGCGCTTCTGTTCAGCATCTGCTAGACGGTACGCTTCCACCGTGTTCATTTCAAGCCTCAAAACTCTTTTTTAATGTGTGCTTTTGGACACACTCCATTGCTGAGAGGAGCCCTGCCCCCTGTAACAAGAAATAATTTTCTTGACCTTGATCCCTGCTACAGCACAGTACGACCTGCACAGTCTCTAGAGGAGCAAAGTTAACGACTGCTTGGATCTTTTTCGGCCCCATTATGCGGTGATCAATTTATAACCCTGTCTAGGAAGAGGTCACACCAGAAGTTTGCCGCAGCGAATGAATTATGTTGCTCCCCATGTGGTATCCTCGTATATTCTTGGTAAGAAGATACCTGACCCACCAAAGGACTGCATCCTACGGATCTGTGTTTCTATGTCGCCCAGGCCAGCGGTCATCCTCTTGATCAACTGGAAGGCGTGCACCGGGTGCTTGAGGTAGTCAAAAACGTCGGACGGTGTCGCCAAGTCGTCGTAGGGCTGGCTGTCCTGGACGAAACTGCCGAAGATGTATCAAAAAAAGAACGCTCGCGTGAAACATTCGAAGCTGAAACTCAAATATTCCAGAGCGAAACTCAAGTATTTTTTATGTATATATATTTTTTTACGAATATCCATGGAAGCCGCCGTTTGGTCTGGCTTCCAACGAAAGAACGACAACAGGGCGGTAAAAAATACCTTAGTGAACGGTAGCGAGAGCATTAACCGTAGAAACCTCTACTCTTAGCGAGTGGACTTCAATTAAACAACGACAAATGCCGAAAAGGGTATCTCACCCCTTTCAATACATTTCATGAAAGCGTGATGAATTTGTTAAACTTTTTACACGATGTACTAGTGGTCAAAATCATTACGCCATTTGCATCTCCACTCCTTTGCATTCTAACTCATCCTGTCATGCTGGTTCGCGTGTCCCTGTTAGTATTGCCCACATACAATGACAACGTAAGAAACGCAGGGCGTGGGCAGTCCTGACCCTCAATCGGTTCGCAGCCAATGAGAATGCGGCATTAGAACGTCAAAAAACCAATCACGAAGTAATGAGTTTGGACATGTATAAGCCACGCCCTAGGCTTCCTAAGCTGTCACTGAGAATAATATGAATCCCGATCGTCCCATAAAGCCGACGATACTCACTTGAGGACACTGTCTTGTACAATCTTTAAACGTTTCGTGTAGTACAAGAGACTGGCCTTGACTTCTTTTTCCATCTGGATGAGATCGGAGAGCGTGGACACCGTTGTGTAGAAATCGGTTTTCCCTTGGCCGCTTGAATGCGTCACTAAGCGGAACAACAGCGCGGCCGTAATCCAGCACCACCTGACGGGACATGAGTTGCTTATATCAATGATTATGTATCACCCCCCCCCACCCCCCCCCCCCAATCCTAGACCCCACCCCTCTGGAGTGGTTAAGTAAACAAATATATTGATAGAAGTAGAGGTTGCTGGAATTTTAGTCCTGGGGAAAATACGTTGCTCCCAGCTGGCTCGCAATACCGAATTATCAATCAAAGGTATATCAGAGCACATTATTATCCCACAATTTGAAATATAACCTAATTGTGAGTGATTTTAAGTCGACATTGCTATAAGCTTAATCCAAAACGTCTACTCCAGCGGCGAGTGCCTGCGTGCTTCCTTCTGCTTGCGGGCGTAAATCTTTTGTGCGAGATTGTTTTAAGCTATTTTATCTTTGAAATAGACAGGACGTTAATATACAGGGGAAGATGCATTGTATAACACCGCGCCGTCGTGGTAATTTTTATATACAAATATTATAATAAAAAAAAGATGTCGATGTGTTGGTGATACCATGATAAAATCTTATCTGCGCGGAACTCCTTCACTTTATTCTAGATATATTGACACTATAAGAGCACCCCTCGACGTGATAATCGTATCCCGTGATCATCAGCAGGAACTCAATCGCACGAGCCCATCGCAGTGGCGCGTGCACCTCAGGTCATGAATCAACTGGCATTCTCACCTCACTCAATGACCGTATGATTCCGTCAACCCACTTTAATTTGAGCACGTTGAGTCTGATGAGCTACTTTTTTATGGAGCACGCAGGCAAGGTTGAATGTCTGCAAGTATCTACCTGGGCGGAGATTGTAACGGCGTGCGGTCGGGCAGTCAACTCTCAGTGAAGTCACACACTACACTGTAGCCACAGGGCAGTGAACAGGAGGCGCCACGATCGGCTGCTAGTCAGCGCGGCTGGTGCCCAGTAGGAGCAACTTTGGGAAGGTCATGTCACCGAGCGAATGGACTGCAGCTCTGCGTCGCAGTTTGGAACGGCGCGTAGAGATTCGAGCTCGAAATCGGGTCCAATGATCGCGGCCGCGGGTCGTCTCAGAGAGTTGCGAAAATTCCCCAGAAGATGGCGCCACTTGCCAAACAAAACTTCGTTGCCCGCAGGGTATTCCCCTTCTCAGACCAAGTTTGCGCGCCACCGATCCGATATGTCCAATCAAGCAGTGCCAAAAGTGCAGTGTCACGACGCTCGTCGTTTTTGTGCATTTAAACCAATCACGCAGCAACAACAAAACAAAAGCGCGGGATCACGGCACATTTACTTTTCGTGATTGGTTAGGCGGGTGACCGCAAACGCGCAAAGACGTCAAGCGCCGTGACGGTGTAGTTTTAGCACTGATTGATTGGCTCGATCTGATCGTAGTGTCGGCTGCACACGGACTTATTCTGAAGCAGAAAAGTGCCAGCTTTCCTTCCCACACTGTTTGATCAGTATTGCCGAATCCGATGATCAGATCGACATCTTGATGGGTATATGTCCACAGAACCCAAGTAATTCATTGATAGAGGATTGACTTCCTTTCTTCCGAAACTACTTAAAAATGTCCCTTAAAAATGCTCGAAAAGTGTTATCCGGAATACAGAATTACTCTATGCCGCGCAATTGGAAAATTGTATGTGACGCCACATGTAGGCTAATCCCAACAGAACCACCAAAATCAGTGTAGGTATTACTTTAAACCGTCATCGCAAAATGTGGGCCTAATATACATACTAATTTGAAATTAACTAGATACATGTATGGCTCGACTTTGCCGCCAGAAAAAAAAATTAGACATATCATCACGCAGTGTTACAAAACATTTCGCAAAATAGTTCAACATTATTGCGATGCAAGTTATTTACTCACGTCTTTCTCATGTCGCACTTCTCCGCAGGGGCTCTGAAGCAAACTGCAGGACGCTCCCTCAAAAGTCGTGGTTGCTTCAGCTGCCGCGATGTTGTACGTGGCTGCAAGTTGGCGTAGACCCAGACCAACTGCCTATTGACCGATTGATCTGTCAAAGTAGACTGAAAAAATAAAAAAAAATTCCCCGAGTTCCATTGTTACTCTTCTATGATGGTTCTGTTGTCATTTTTTTATATATCGTCCGTTTTCTCTGCGCTTTTCCAATAACTGGTACGTTTATTTATTTTTTTCTTACGGTTTTCAATTTTAGGTTTTTTTTTTATATATATATATATTTGTATTATACCGGAGGGACCCAAGGCTGCATCGAACAAATGTTCCGCAAGTAATATAAAAAACATGTGTATCGATGGGCTTTGAAAATATATCTGGCGATAAGTTACAGCCTGACGAGAAAAAAAAAAAAAAAAAGAGCCTCAGCCTGAGTTGCTGCGTTCAAGCTTCAATGTGCCCTTTGGGCAAGTTTGCTCGCTCCCTTTCTACTTTAGAATTGGAAAAAGTCTGTCCTTCCTGACGGCTAGAACAATTTTTCGTGCATTGTTTCGTGTGTTTAGACGTGTAGATGACATGGCGCTAAAGGAGGGGTAAAAAAAAATGTCTTAGCCACAGAGTTTGCATTCGTGCTTCAATGTGCCCTTTGAGCAAGTTCGCTCGCTCCCTTTCTACTTTAGAATTCGGAAGACTTGTTCCTTCATGATGGTGCGAACATTTGTATAGATTGTTTCGTCTGTTTAGACGTGCGGATGACATAAACGGTAAAGGAGAAGTAAAAAAAAAAAAAAAAAAGCCTCTACTCACCCGGGAGTTTGGAAGCTTTTTGACAGAGAAGTAAAACAGATCAAGAGATTTGTGATTACGTTTGCGTGTATGAGATCGTGTTGCACTGGATCAAACTTCGACGACATTAACGTGGTAGAAGAGCAAGAGGAAGAAGGATTATCTCTTCAATTCGATACACCCTTGTCTCATCTATGCGGAGCACATCCTGAAGACTGTAAGCTGATTCTCTAAAATTTTCTCACAGCTAGCTACACAGGCTCTGTTATCCTACGGCGCCCTCCCTTCCCCTCTCCCGTTCCCCTTCTTTTGTCATGTGACACACCAATTCCGTTTCCCCGTTCCTGCCTTCTCCCTTCCCTCTCCCCCCTCTCCAAATCCCTCTCCTCACCGGCCTACGGAGCCTTCTCCTACTCTCCAGTTGCCTCCCTGCGCCATTCCTCGTCACGTGACACGCTAATTCAGCTTCCCCAAAATGTATTTTAAAGAAAATATATGTTTCACTTGCGGAAAAATTGTTTTATTGTTTTCAAAACTATTGAAACAATCGTTCGTAAATTCTGCATTTCGTGTATTCTGGACCCTAAAAATAAACGTCCCTGCAAATTTGTTTTGTCCGAATTTCGCGACGTGTCTAGGGTGAATTAAACTCGGGAATTACTTTCCCAAGAAAAATATGTCATCAAAAATAAAACGTTCAAAACGTAATTTAATTATTTTATGTAATTATACAGCTAATAAACTAATTTCGCCTGTTTTCTAGTAGTCGCCACGGCCACCAAATTATCCCTAGACCCCCCCCCCCCCCAAAAAAAAAAAAAGCCTACGTTTTTTTTTTAGATTATGAAGTTATTGAAAATAGATAAAGAAACGGCCTGTATGCTTGTAAGCAGTGTTGGCAGTAACGCGTTACTAGTAAAGGAACAACGTGTTTGTTTACATTTTCAATACAGCAACGGGTAACGTACTTACGTTATATATTTAAACTAACGGGCAATGTAGTTGCGTTACTCATTACTTCTTCCCAAGTCTTTAAATGGCAACTCCAGTCAATAATTTTGAGTTGAGGAATAGTACTGTTTTCCACTAAAGCAGTATCCCTGAATTACAAGGTAGAATTACTGTTTCCGTGTTATGTGGTGTTTTATCAATATCACTGCTCAAAATTTGGTTTCGGGCATCTACTGCAAAACCGAATCTATCTGCAACAGGGATGGCAGCACTGATTATCAGCCGTATACAGCTGATATAGCAGGGGGCAGGAACAGAATAAACTGGGAGGAGATCGAGGAGCATTTAGAAAGCGAAAACTTTGCAGTGTATGGGTTAGCAGAAACACATCTGAGGGATATGGAAGAACTACCATACATACAGGGCTGTCATTGGATAGGGTAAGACCGGGCCAATGGGGAACGCAAGGGGGGGGGGGGATTAGGGGTGTTAGTGAAGGGGCAGGAATGGGGAAGGGAACGAGATGGCTGCAGGGAACACACGGGGATCAAAGGCAATATTGGTGGCTTGGACACAGACCTGGGTTTTGTGTATTTAAAAACAGGGAATGATGCAGGAAAATTGGCATTAAAAGGCAAATAATTATCTTTTGGTTCATGAATGCGCATTTGGAAGACTTTGGTGGACATACGAATACAACAGGGAAAATGTTAGAGGAGTTCTGCGAAGCTCTTGATCTGGTATTGGTAAATGCTCACGTAAAATGTGATGGTAAAATAACGTTTGAAAGAAAGAACTCGCACTCGACCACTGACTACTGTATAATGTCACGGAAGTTATACAACAAATTATGAGGTATGAAAATAGATGACGAAGGCACAAAACGTCTGGAGACGATTATAGGAGAATCAAGGTCAGATTTGGCACAGTAAAACCAGAGATAGAAAATAAAAAAAACACGGAGGTAGAAATAACTTAAATGATACGCAATGAAACACAATTATACACAATGATAGGAGGTATCTAAGTGAATCGAGAACCTTAGTATCTAGGAAACCCAAAAAGGGAATGGACATATGAAGACTTAGTGTTTTCAAAATAGAGCTACAGAAATATCAAATCAAACAAGGAGGAAGAAATCTGAAACGCTAGCTCAAAAACTGGTGGGATAAAGAGGTTTAGGCAGCAATATCGAGACGCCAAGCGGCATCTAGAGAATACAAATGGGCAAAAGGAGGCCCACCAGCTGAAGTAGCATCAAAATGTGAGGACTTGCAGGAAAGAAAGTGGGAGGCATCAGCATTAATACAGGCCAAAATAGGGAGGGCAGGGGTCCAGTGGATGATAGTAATAAACCAGAAGGATAGGAATGCGGCAAAATGGTTCTGGGAACGCACAGGGAAAAAGATTGAGGGGTACCATCAGACACTAACCACACTGGAAAGGACAAAGGTAGAGGAGGAAGAAGCGAGAGAAGACATTAGAAATACAGTCGAAGCAGCATTTTCAGAGTAAGAACCAGATCAGGCCGTAGGGAATGAGAGCGTCTACACAACTCAAGAGGAGGATCATACTGAAGAAGAAATGACCATAGGGGAATGAAAAAAATGGCAAAAGGAAAGGTTCCGGCTGGAACGGCATACCATTGAGGCTGATAAAAGTTCTAGGCAAAACAAGCAAATTGAAACTAAGGCAGGTGATCGACCAGATACTTATGAGAAGGGAGGTACCCAGTGACTGGAAATTGAGCAGGATGAAATTATTATATAAGGGCAAGTGAGACAAAGGCAGTACCACGTCATACCGACCAATCACAGTAACTTCAGTAATATACAGACCAGCTATGCAGATAGTAAAAAGAAGAATGGAAGAATGGGCAGAAAGAAAGAAGATTCTGCGGGAGCTTCAAAACGGTTTCAGGAGGAATAGACGACTAGATGATAACTCATTCGTAATCCCTCAGTGCATAGGGATAGCAAGGACAAGTCAAAGGCCATTATGGGTACCATTTTTGGACATCAAAGGGGCATATGACAATGTGAATCAGAAAAAGCTCTGGGGCCAACTGAAGAGATATTGGCAAGGGTTAAGTTTCTAGAACTGGTTTATACGGACAATAGGGTGGTTATAACATGGGAAGCCTAAAACTACAAGACCAGCAGCAATAAAAAGAGGACTTAGACAGAGTTGCCAATCGTCTCCCATGTTCTTTATGATATACCTCAGTGTGGGGGAAAAGAGATTAGAGCAGTGCAACCTAGGTTTTGTCCTGACATACATGGAGGGAGGACATAAAGTAAATCAAGTGTTGCCAGGATTAATGTATGCAGACGTCATTGTACTTATATCAGAAAGTTGTGAGACAATACAGGAACTGATCAGGATTTTCAGCAGAGAAGTGGACAGTTTAGGACTAAAATTCAGTAGGGACAAGTCGGGTATAATAGTTTTCAACAACGATAGAGGGGAACCCCTGGACATTCAGGACAAAGTGATAGAACACATATAGAAAAGTACAAATATCTGGGAGTATGGTTAAGTGAGAGAAGAAAGTATCTAAAAGACCATGAAGATATTGTAATAAAGAGGGGGAAACGAGATTCAGCTATTATGAAACACAGGGCACTATGAAATTATATTAGATATGAAGTCGTTAAGGGGTTGTGGAAGGGAGTCATGGTGCCAGGATTGTCATTTTGGGAACGCGGTATTGTGTATGAGGCCAGAAATGAAGGCAGGTTTAGAGATACAGCAAAGGAGTGTGGGTAGGTTGGCACTGGGGGCACATGGGAATACACCAATTGAGGGAGTACAGGGGGATGTGGGTTGGCAATCTTTTGAGAGTAGAGAAGTGATCAGTAAAATAAAATTTGAACAAAGTCCAGCTGAAATTTAGGATAAACGATGGGCAGCGAAAGTGTACAAGTATCTATATATGAAAAGTCTAAACACTAAGTGGACACACCGAACCCGCAAGCTGACATCTAAATATATTCAACGAGATGGAGCCGATCAGAGCATTTCAGTAGAAAAAGGAGTAAAGAAAACAGGAAATTATGGGAAAAGGTAATGCAGGGCACAAAAACGAAATAAAGAAATAACAGTTGTATGATAATTCATTGGGGAGCTCATTGCTGTTTGAAACTAGAATGGGGGTGCTAAGAACAAAAACATATAGGGCTAACTTCCACAAAATTGACACTCTATGCAACATATGCAAGCG